GTGGTTTGATAAATACAGGAGCTTAGTTCACTTTTTTTAAATCTGCTTTGTGATTGAATATATGTTCAGTTTAGGAGAAAGTTCCACAAGGTGCTGAGAAAAAGTATACTCTTTTGAAACACAAAAGAGGTGAAATGAAACACAAACAGGGTGAAATGTTCTTCTAGTGTACTTCTAGTTCCATTTGATCACAAAGTCTTTGAGCACCATTATTTCACTGTTTAGTTTGTGGATGGATGACTCATCCATTGGTGAGAGTGGGGTCATTGAATTCTCCCACTATTAATGTGTGGGTGTGGGGTTTGATGTGTGATTTAAACTTCAGTAATGTTTCTTTAACAAATATGAGTACCCTTGAATTTTCGGCACAGATGTTCAGAATTGAGACATCATCTTGGTGGATTTTTTTTCCTTTGATGAATATTAAATGTCCTTCTTCATCTCTTTCAATTAATTTTGTTTTGGAGTCTTTTTTGTTATATATTAGACTAACTACACCAGCTTGCTTCTTAGGTTTGTCTGTTTGCATGAAAATGTCCTTTTTTCAAGCCTTTTCTCTGAGGTGATGTCTGTCTTTGGTGTTGAGGTTTGTTTCTTGTATGTAGAAGAAGAATTGATCATGCTTTCATATCCATTCTTTTAACCTGTATCTTTTTATTGGTGAATTTAGTTTATTGATATTGAGAGATATTATTGACACTGATTGTTAATTTCTGTCATTTTGACTTTGGTGGTGGTAGCAATCTGTCTGTGTGTGCCTGTGTGTGTGTGTGTGTGTGTGTGTGTGTGTGCCTGTGTGTGTGTGTGTGTGTGTGTGTGTTTCCCTTCTTTGGACTTTGCTGGTATATGATTTTCTATTGTCTGTGTTTTGTTAGGTATAGTTAACTTTCATGGGTTGGTATCATCTGTAGCTGGACTTTCTTTGGAATACCAACTACCAAAAATGAAATGGAGACCTTTTATTAATTTTGAAAGCTTAGCCTTAGCTTAGGTTTGTTCCCAATTAGTTCTTATAACTTATATTAACATGTTTATATTAATTTACATTCTTCCATGTGGCTTATTACCTTTCCTCCATACCACTTGTCTGACTTCCTCCATCTTTCACTGACAAATTCCATGCCTCTCAAATTATGATCAGAGTTCCCAGCTCTGCCTGGAAGTCCTGCCTATCATCTCCTGAGTAGCTATTCAACTCTTTATTAAACCAATCAGAAGGTGCCTTAGGTAGGCAAAGAAGGACAGAAACATCTTCACAGTGTGATCAAATAACCACAAAAGTTTTCCTTTTAGTACCTTCTGCAGGACTGACTTTGTAGGTAGATATTGTGCTTGAATTTGACTTTGTCATGAAGCATCTTGTTTTCTCCATCTTTGATTATAGAAAGTTTTGCTGGGAATATTATCTGGAATGTCCTCTGTGGTCTCTTAGAGTTTGGAAGATATTTTTCTAGGACCTCCTTGCTTTTAGAATCTCTTGAGTGATGAGTGATTCTAGTAGGCCTGCTTTTATATGTCACTGGCCTTTTCCCTTGCAGCTTTTAATATTTTCTCTATATGTTTAGTGTTGTGATTATTATGTGACACAGGGATTTTCTTTTCTGATCCAATCTGTTTAGTGTTCTGTAAGATTTTTGTACCTTTATTGGCATGTCCTTTTTTAGATTAGAGAAATTTTCTTCTATGATTTTGTTAAATATATTTTTTGGTTTCTTTTGAGCTGGGATTCTTCTCTGTCTTCTATTCCTATTATTCTTAAGCTTGGTCCTTTTGTGGTGTCCCATATTTTCTTGATGCTTTGTGCTAGGAGTTTTTTTTTAATTTATCATTTTCTTTGAATGATGAATCCATTTTCTTCTACTGTATCTTCAATATCTGAGAGTCTCTATTCCATCTCTTATACTCTATAGATGCTGCTTGTATAAGAACTTCCTGCTCACCCAGATTTTTCATTTCATGAATTCCTTCAGTTTGTGTTTTCTTAATTGCATTTATTTCTATTTTTATGTCTTTTTCTACTTATTTATTTATTTATTAAAAATTTCCACCTCCTCCCTACCTTCCATCTCCCTCTCCCTCCCCCCACTTCCCTCCCTCTACCTCTCCAGTCCAAAGAGCAGTCAGGGTTCCCTGCCCCCTGGGAAGTCCAAGATCCTCCCCCCTCCATCCAGGTCCAGGAAGGTGAGCAACCAAACAGACTAGCCTCCCACAAAGCCAGTCCATGCAATAGGATCAAAACCCAGTGCCATTGTCCTTGGCTTCTCAGTCAGCCCGCATTGTCTGCCACATTCAGAGAGTACGGTTTGATCCCATGTTTTTTCAGTCCCGGTCCAACTGGCCTTGGTGAGCTCCCATTAGATCAGTCCCACCGTCTCAGTGGGTGGACACACCCCTCACGGTCCTGACTTCCTTGCTCATGTTCTCCCTCCTTCTGCTCCTCCTTTGGGCCTTAGGAGTTCAGTCCAGTGCTGCAATGTGGATCTCTGTCTCTATCTCCATCCATTGCCAGATGAAGCTTCTATGGTGATATGCAAAATATATATCAGTGTGGCTATAGGATAGGGCCACTTCAGGCTCCCTCTCCTCAGCTGCCCAAGGAACTAGCTGGGGACATCGCCATGGACACCTGGGAACCTCTAGAGTCAAGTCTCTTGCCAACCCTAAAATGGCTCCCTTAATTAAGAAATCTTCTTCCCTGCTCTCATATCCACCCTTCCTCCATCCCAACCATCCCATTCCCCCAGGGTCTCCCCATCCTCCCCTCCTCACTTTTCTCTCCCCATGTCCCCTTACCCCTACCCACCCCCACCCCCAAGATCCCAATTTTTGCCTGGCAAAATCCTTTTATTTGCCTTCCAATATCCACGAGGATAACTATATGGGTTTTTTTTTGGGGGGGGTCACCTTCTTATTTAGCTTCTCTTGGACCATGGATTATAGGCTCACTGACCTTTATTTATGGCTAGAATCCACTTATGAGTGAGTACATACTATATTCATCTTTTTGGGTCTGGGTTACCTCACTCAGAATAGTGTTTTCTATTTCCATCCATTTGCATGCAAAATTCAAGATGTCGTTGTTTTTTTACCGCTGAGTAAAACTCTAATGTGTATATAATCCACACTATCTTTATCCATTCTTCCATTGAAGGGCATCTAGGTTGTTTCCAGGTCCTGGCTATTACAAATAATGCTGCTATGAACATAGTTGAACAAATACTTTTGTAGTATGATAGGGCATCTCTTGGGTATATTCCCAAGAGTGGTATTGCTGGATCCTGGGATAGGTTGATCCTGAATTTCCTGAGAAACCACCACACTGATTTCCAAAGTGGTTGTACAAGTTTGCATTCCCATCAGCAATGGATAAGTATACCCTTTACTCCACATCCTCTCCAGCATAGGCTATCATTAGTGTTTTTGATTTTAGCCATTCTGACAGGTGTAAGATGGTATTTCAGAGTTGTTTTGATTTGCATTTCCCTGATCGCTAAGGAGGTTGAGCATGACCTTAAGTGTCTTTTGGCCATTTGAACTTCTTCTGTTGTGAATTCTCTGCTCAGTTCAGTGTCCCATTTTTTAATTGGGTTAATTAGCATTTTAAGGTCTAGTTTCTTGAGTTCTTTATATATTTTGGAGATAAGACCTTTGTCTGATGTAGGGTTGGTGAAGATCTTCTCCCATTCAGTAGGATGCCTAATGGACTCTAGCCATAAACAAAGAACATTAAGCCTATAGTTCACAAGCCTAGAGAAGCCAAATAACAAGGTGAACCCAAAGAAAAACATATATAGATCCTCCTGGAAATTGGAAGGAAACAAGATCGCTGGGCAAAAGTTGGGAATGTGGGGTTGGGGGTAGGGGTGGAGTGGGGTTGGGAGAAGGGGAGAGGGGAAGAGAGAAGGGAGAAGGGAAAGACTGGGGAGAGCTTGGGGGAATGGGAGTGTGGAGATGGAGGAAGGACGGATATAGGAGCAGGGAAGAAGATATCCACATTAAGGGAGCCATTTTAGGGTTGGCAGGAGACTTGGCTCTAGAGGGGAATCCCAGGTGTCCACGGGGATGTCCCCAGCTAGGTCCTTGGGCAACAGAGGAGAGGGTGTCTGGACTGGCCTTGCTCCACTATCACACTGATGGTTATCTCAAATATCACTATAGAATCTTCGTCTGGCAACGGATGGAGATAGAGACAGAGACCCTCATCAGAGCAACGGACTGAGCTCCCAAGGTCCAGTTGAAGAGCAGAAGGAGGGAGAATATGAGAAAGGAAGTCTGGACCTCGAGGGGTTGGTCCACCCACTGAGGCAGTGTGCCTGTTCTAATGGGAGCTCACCAAATCCAGCTGGACCCGGTCTGAATAAGCATGTGATCAAACCAGACTCTCTGAATGTGGCTTCCAATGGGGGCTGACTGAGAAGCCACTGATAAAGGCACTGAGACCTGTTTCTACTGCATGTACTGGCTTTTCGGGTCCCTAGTCTATTTGGATGTGCACCTTCCTAGACCTGGATGGAGAGGGAGGGCCTTGGACTTCCCACAGGGCAGAATTCCCTGCCCTCTCTTAAGGAGGGAGGGGGAGAGAGGAAGGAGAGTGGGGGAGCAGGAGAGGACTGGGAGGAGGAGAGGAAGTGTAAATTTTTGAATGGAAACATAAAAAAAAAATTTAAAAAAATGCCTGTGTGGAGCAAACATTTGATACTGGGTGAAATTGGAGCCTGAACTTCTGGGTGGGACTAAATACCTGAGATGCACAACTTAAGAGAGGTTTATTTCGTCTCATGGACTCAGGGGGCTTCAGTTCATGGTCAGCTGGTCTCATTGTGCTTTTACTTGTAGCAAGGCATAAACAGCATGGGGGGAGGTCATGGCTCAGGGAAGTTGTTTGTCCCATGGTTACCAAGGAAACACAGAGAGAGAAGGGACCAGAACAAATTCAACCTTCCAAGGCCCAGTGACATATTTCCTCCAAGGAGGCTACCAGGCTCTCACAATCTCCCATTGTTCCTGAAGCTATGACTTCATCACCCTGAACACCCACAGGCATCATCAGTAGAGACACGATCCTCCTTGTCATTCCCATATTCAAAATATGTTCCTGCTAGGAGACCATTCGAACTCCAGGCCCACGATCATCTTTCTGGCAATTTTCGTTGGTTTCGGCGTGGGATATCACTTCCTTCTTATTCTCTTCCTGATGATTGATCATTGCAGAAAGAAACCAAAGTGTGAAGGTAGCTCTAGAAAATATCAGGATCCTGTAATGCTGAAAGCCATGGGCAGAGGGTGGGAGGTGCCACTTATTTGGGAAGTCGAATCTACATCCTGTCCTAGCTGTACTTTCTGGATGATAACACTTGTTCCCTAAACTCTCAGACCACGTGGTTTAGATTAGAAGTACCAAGGCAATATGGTGTTATTTATGAAAGCAATAAGGCCAGTGGGGTCACAGAGCCAAGAACTAAGGTAGATGAGGACTGAATTGAGGCTAAAGCTAAGCTAGGAAAGTAGGGATACCCATGAACCATGAAGGTGGCAGGGATCTGATTATGTAAGAAATGCCCCCAGAGACTGCAAAGATGTTTAAGAATACTGATTTTTCTCACTCAAGTTTTGTCTCAGTCATGAACATATGTAAATGGTGCCCATGGTGGTCATGAGAGACAAAAGAGAAAGCACAGGGATCAGATGGAAGTCCCTTGCCCTCCTTAACATGCCCTGTTATCTGTAATCACCACCTCAGGGGTTTTCAACATCGAGGTGTGCAGTCTGCATACTGTACTTCTGAGTCCCACTTCAAAACCTCGGCCATCGTCACGCCTTGAAGATGCTAGCTCCCTGAGACCCAGGAGACACTGCATCTTTAGGGAAAAAAATGTCAACGCTGAGACTGCTGCTCTGGTCCTTATATCCTCTACACATGTGTGTGTCACTGTTGGTGTCCGTCTTTAGAATGTTTGCTTCCTGGCAGATGGCTCTGTCTCCAGCTGCCATTGCACACCAAGCAATGTAATGATGAAGTTGATTAGAGGACCAGTGCAGAAAATAATCTGCCCTTGGGAACAGATGTCAAGGAAGAACACGTTTTGTGTGGAAGAGAAGTCAAGGGTAAAGGGTTTTGAGAAACTGTGGGCTTGATCGTCTGAGAGAGGTCTGGCCTTGAGGGACCAACCCAAAAAATCTAGAAGGATAGTTTGTCTACTTTACATTCTACTTTTTCGCTCTGTAAGTGACAGCCTTGTGACCCCATCCACGGCTGCTCTGTTTCAGATATATGTTAAGATTTAGATATTGTGACAGTATTCCTCAAACTACAACATCTACTTTGACCAAAAAAATAATAATAATATTGAAATCCTGAAAGACAGACAATGGCAAAGTATTCTTTTGCTGAAACCCTGGCGTCCGCTGAACGTTTTGTTTGATGCTGGTGATGTAATCAGATTTTGAAGCTGATACAATCAAAGGTTACCTAGAATGCTTTTGAGTTTAGGCTCTGGGATTGTCTGTATTTGAAGGGACTGTAGGTTTGCACACCCTATGAAGTAATACAGAAGATTCTGAAGGCTACAAAAGACGCCCTGTTATCTTCAGAGAGATGCTATTCTGACTCCTAGGTACAGATCTACCCCATCTCCTCGCTTCTCACCTAGGACCCTTGCTTACACATAGCGGACAGAAGACCAGTGACCTAGAGTACAGTAACAGAAATAAAACGTTGCTGGGCCTACAATGCTTCCAGAGCTTCATGTCTGGGGAGTGAATGCTCTGGGTGTGCCCAAGATTGCTTCCAAGGGAATAGGAACTATAGCAGCATAGCCCCCTGTGCCTGGCTCACTGCTCTGTAGTCACCATGTTGAAAATTCGAATTGTTTTGAACAAGAGACTCTTCCCTTTGGTTTTTGTCTTGGGTTTCTATATGCCAAAGACAGTAAGAGAAAGGCTGGCCTCTAACAGTGACTTCTTCTTGTTACCTAATATTAATTCCTATTCTTATCACTGGAAAGATACATTTGAGCTATTCAGTGTTAATACTTCCTTTAAAGACAAAATCTGAGTGTATTCAGCACTTTCTGTTTCAAGATTCCCTTCCCACATCATCTTTGTTATTTCTGTTTGGGAGAGGATATGAAAACATTGGTGTTTGTGGTTCCCAGTTACAATAGTCACATGGGTTATGAAAGAGTATTTGGGGCTAATTCAGGACAAAGAAAAAACAAAAAGAGAAATGCAGTTTAAAAAATACCACTGATGCTGATCTGCTAAGATTCTGATATTATATAGTACAATATATCAAGAACGCTCTGAGAAGTGTGGGCTTTCATGAAGCAGACTTTGGAGTTCGGGGATCACCCCATAGTTCTTTAAGCTCCAAAGCAGGCCTTAGTTATGTAACTTACAGGCCCTAATCAAAGGGGAAAATGTGGGATCCCTATTCTAAAGCCATTACAGTTTCAAGGCAGATCTGGAATATTCCCTGTAACATGGGGACCCTTTAAGCATAGCTTTTCTTTCCTGTGCATTTGATGTTATGCAGACATAGGCCTAGCTACCTTATCCGTGATTTTCATGGCTCCATGAGACTGACAGCTTGGTCTTGTTAAATATAATGAGACCCTAAATTCACTATTTCTGTTTTATTTTTCACACTGCTCAGAGGAAGACTGTCAGGAAAAGGTGAAACTCCTGGAGGAGGAGGAAGAGGAGTCCTATACTGAAATCGCTGAGATCAGAAACTCCAAGATCTCTCTGGAGGAGATGGCATGCCTGTACTGAAACAAGCTGTACTATGACCCAGGCTGGAGGTTCACAGACCACCACCGTGGTACCCAGATAGGACCATAATGTGCCATGGCCCCTTTAATACTTAAGTTCTCCAATAATAAACTATTTGGTCCTACTCACCAGGTCTCTGTGATTGACACTCTTTGTGAACAGCTAGAGATGTGATTTCACAGATGGCAATGCAGCCGCCAGGGCTCACCTCTGTCCCCTCTACTCTTGAGCAAAGCCCCGGTGAGCGACGTGTGCTCAGACACAGGGAGATGCTGGATCCAGGTGAGTTCAAAGTGCTCGCATATATAACATCTTTTATTGGATACTTTACAGTAACTTGAGTTTGGTCACATGGAAATAGATGAAGATGTGACAGAACCTCTTAATGAGAATCAAATTAATAAAAAAAACCTAGAGAAACTTCTGAAACGCCTTCTAGAAATAGAAAGATGGGGAAGTGAGGCTGACTACAACCTGGGCAGAACGTAAATCCTAGCATGCGCAACCTCACTCTCCCACGGGCCCATCTCTTCGTGCCCCTTCTCATCTCACCCTGTGGCCACCACGTGGCTCACAGCCTCTCTAGAGGACAGCCTTTTCTCATTTTTTATCCCCTGTACAACTTTTGAAAAGATTTTCCTGTCAGTCTTCTTCAAACTGACTTCCTGTCACGGATATACAGAGGTGACCGGAGGGAAGGCCAGTAAAACCCCTCCTCTCACTGAAGCAAAGTAGAAGTGTGCCCTACTCCTGATCTTATGGTTTGTCCATGGGTTTAAAAAAAATCAGATAAAATACTTACACTCTCTCCACTGTTTCTCCTTGATTCTCCTATTTGAGGTATGTCATCCTCAAGCTGATCCCACTAAGCAGGATCTGTGCATTCTGCCTGTTTTGGTCTAGCCTGGACGTAGCTCCAGCAGGCACTGCCAAGCTTTGTGCAGAACAACTGGACAGAGTTTTCACACATAAACAGCAAGATTTGCAGTTCAGAACAGGAACTGGTCCACAGCCAAGTCACTCATAGGCTATAATCCAAACTCTAGAAATTATATGTTGGCTGACCTGCTGTAACACAGCACAGGGTGTCAGCACTAATTGCCACAACTAGGTATTGTTGCCGGCTGAACCTTCATAGGAATATCGTTCTTTAGGTTGGGAAAGTTTTCTTCTATAATTTTGTTGAATATATTTTCTGGGCCTTTGATCTGCAATTCTTCTCCTTCTTCTACCCCTATTATTCTTAGGTTTGGTCTGTTTATTGTGTCCCAGATTTCCTGAATGTTTTGTGATGAGAATTTGCTGTTTTCTTTGATCAGTGCATTTATTTTCTCTATGGTGTCTTCATAATCTGAGATTCATTCTTCTATCTCTTGTATTCTATTTGTTATGCTTGTTTCTGTAGTCTCTGTTTGCTTACCTAGATTTTCCATATCCAGCTGGCCCTCGGTTTGTGTTTTCTTCATTGCCTCCATTTCAGTTTTCAATTCTTGAACTGTTTCCATTACCTGTTTGATTGTTTTTTCTTGGTTTCCCAGGGTATCATTTCGGATTTACTCATTTCTTCGAACTTTTTGTTATACTTCTCATCCATTTCTTTAAGGGAGTTTTTCATATCCTGTTTAAGGGACTCTATTGCTTTCATAATGTCACTTTTTTCCACTTCTTCTGGATTAGAGTGTTCAAGTCCTTCTGTTGTAAGATCGCTGGATTCTGGTGGTTCATGTTGTTTATCAGATTTTTGGAGGAATTCTTGCCTTGGTGCTACCCATCTCTTCCTTCAAATGCTCTCCTATGGATCTTCTGGTACAAGGTCAGGTTCCCTTGTTGGCCAGGGACCTCGATGACAAAAGGCCTACCTTGCTGGTGGCAGGCTATTGAAACAAAGGAACTCCAGCCTGCCCGGTTGCTCTCACCAGCCCATCCCAGCGCCCAAACAGGCTGAGCTGGGGGATTTTATGGCCCTGAGGAAGGGACGAAGAAGGGAAGGGGTTCCTGGGTGAAAGCTGGGATGGGATAAAAGGAGAGAGGGTGGAGCAGGGTGGAACAGCCCCTGCAGAATGACCAGGGAGTTATGGGGTTGGGGAATGTCTGTGTTCCCCTCCCCTCCCTCTCTAGTCTTATGAGCTGTCAGGGCTCCCTGCCCCCTGGGAAGCCCAAGGTCCTCCCCCCTTCATCAAGGTCTATAAAGGTGAGCATTCAAACAGACTAGGCTCCCACAAAGCCAGTCCATGCAGTAGAATCAAAACCCAGTGCCATTATCCTTGGATTCTCAGTCAGCCCTCATTGTCAGCCACATTCAGAGAGTCCAGTTTGATCACATGCTCATTCAGTCCCAGTCCAGCTGGCCTTGGTGAACTCCCATTAGATCAGTCCCACCGTCTCAGTGGGTGAACACACCACTCGTGGTCCCGACTTCCTTGTTAATGTTCTCCCTCCTTCTGCTCCTCATTTGGACCTTAGGAGCTCAGTACAGTGCTGCAATGTGGATCTCTGTCTCTATCTCCATCCATTGCCTGAATGAAGGTTCTGTGATGGTATATAAGATATTCATCAGTGTGGCTATGGGACAAGGCCACTTCATGGACCCTCTCCTCTACTGCCCAAGGAATAATTTGGGGACCTCTCCTTGGACCTGGGAACCCCTCTATAGAAGCTAAATAATAAGGTGAACCCAAAGAAAATCATATATTTATCCTCCTGGGTATTGGAAGTAGACAAGATTGCCAGGCAAAAGTTGGGTGCACAGGAATGGGGAGGTGGATGTAAGGGGAGATGGGTAGAGAGAAGAGAGAAGGGGAGGATTCAGGAGAGCTTGGGGGAATGGAGGATGGGTGGATATGGGAGCAGGGAAGTAAATATCTTAATTAAGGGAACCATTTTAGAGTTTGCAAGAGACTATTTTTATGTCTTAAATAGTGTTCTTCACCTGTTTGCTTTTCTTGGCTTTTGTCACATTCTTTAAGCGATTTATTTATTTATTTCGATGTTTTGCTAGTCTTTACCTTTAAGAGATCCTTTCATTTCCTCTTTAAGGACCTCTATCATCTTCATAAAGTTGTTTTTAAGGCCATTTTCGTGTGCTTTGTCTTCATTTGATTACTTGGGTCTTGTTGTCATAGGTTAGCTGGGCTCTGGTGGTTCCTTATTGCCCTGGCTCTTGTTGATTGTATTTTTCTACTGGCATTTAGGCATCTCTGTTTGGGATAGTTAGGTCTAACTCCTTATCTGAGATATTCTTTGTTGGATGGATGTATTCCTTGCTTTCTCTTTCCTCTTTGTATTTTTACTCTTTTGCCTCAATTTCTGGCAGCTGGAATGGCCTCTGATATAGTAGGAAGTCTCTATCCAAGTGGGGATCTGGCCTTCTGGAGGTTAGCTTGGCCTTTGGTTCATCTGATTGGCGTTGTCTGCACCTCAGCAGCTGGAGTCTGTTCTGGCTGGCATGGCCTGCCCCTGAGTCATGGATGTCCACTGGTGCTGAGTGCAGGCTTTTGAAGCAGCACAGGCAATGGCCTAGAATGGTGTGGGCTGTGGGAAGGGCCAGTTCTTCTGACATGAACAGTGGTCTTTCTAAACATTCCTGGGAAAAACTATATAACACATGGCTTGCACAAAGCCAGTCCATGTTTCTTATTTCCTTTGGATATATACCCAAAAGTGGTACTACTGGGTCTTGAGGAAGGTTGTTTCCTAATTTTCTGAAAAAATTGCCACACTGACTTTCAAAGGGGTTGCATATCCAAAGGATGCTCAATCATGCCACAAGGACATGTGCTCAACTATGTTCATAGCAGCTTTGTTTGTCATAGCCAGTACCTGGAAACAGTCTAAATGGTCCTCAATTGAAGAATGGATAAGAAAATTGTGGTACATTTACACCGTGGAGTACTACACAGCAGAAAAAAATAACAACAGCTTTAATTTTGCAGGAAAATGGATGGAGCTAGAAAACATTCCTTTGAGTGAGGTAACCCAGACACAGAAAGACAATAATCACATGTACTCACTCATAGGTGGTTTTTAAACATAAAGCAATGAAAACCAGTCTACAAACCACAATTCCAGAAAACTTACACAACAGTGCAGACACTAAGAGAGACTTACATAGATCTAATCTACATGGGAAGTAGAAAGTAAAAAAAGAAAAGATCTCCTGAGTAAATTGAGAGCATGGGGACCTTGGGGGAGGATTGAAGGGGGGAGGGGAGAGGAAGGGAGGGGAACAGTGAAAAATGTAGAGCTTAATAAATGTCAATTAAAAAGTATAAAAAAAGAATTATTTAAGATATTTGATACTTTTTACATTGGTGTTAGAATTGAACATTTTCAAAAAGCATTATGAGATGATTAATAAAGATTAAATTGCTTGTTCTTAATTTATGTCAGTTATAATTTTTCTTCAATCAAAGTTTAAAAAAAATACAATCTACAAAATAAAAAATATTTCTTATTTCATGACAGGGACACTTTTAAAGAAACTTTTAAAAGGAACATTCTGGTTTGTGTTAGAGCAGTGAATTTCAGCTTCTCATTGTAATACTGGGACTATGTAACCCCTTAGAACAGCAGCCTGCAGCACCCTATGGGTGAGTTTCTTAGATATGAATTCATCCAAGGCTACTATTGCACGTGTAAAAATAAGATTACTGCTCTGTATTTGACATGCTGATGAATGAAATAACAATAATAGTAATAATGAGAAGCAATTTTGCTACCTATCAGAAGAAGAAGGAACCAGGACATTTTTCCCTGTCAAACTGGACAAACAAAAATGAATTTGCTATTATTGATAGAAGTTTATTCTCTCCAACAGAGTTATTTTGATTACATGAAGGGCCAACTGCTAATACAATAAGGCTTCAAAGCACACAAAGTCTGCGTTTCAGATGGTTCTAAGAGATATGACTTAATGATATCTAAAGAACATCCTAGAGGAGAAAGAACATACAGAAATCTTAACTTACAGAAATGTATAGCTCCCCATTAATAGAAATCCCTTATTCAATATGATTTCTCCTTTTATGTTGACGGACATCTTTTAGTTTCTTAAATGACTGTCTCAATTTATGGAGCACCACATTATAATTTGATATATGTACTCAAAGTGCAGTGATCAAATTAGGAT